CTCTTTTCAAGTTTTTTTAGCGGTGGTGGACGTTCTTTCATGGATTTCGACCATTTTCACAGTAACCATTGGTTTTTTGTGCTGCTTTCTATTTCTTTTCTTTTCTTCTTTGTTTGTGTAGCATTTTTTTAGAGATTTGAGTGGGATTTGGTAAGTTTACTTCAGCTATTTGAAAGGGTTTGTAAAAACTGGGAGGTGCCGTGTTTCTTCATTTTTGGGTGGGGTAGATTTAGTGGCGACTTAGGTTGTTTGGTTTGAAGTTTGGGGTGAACGAAGAAAACACGAAAATTTTCGCTTGGGTTCAAAGATTCTGGGTTTGGGGAAGGTAGAAGATGAAATCTGTTTATGTTAGTTTCCCATTCGGCTTGTCTTGATCTACTTGACCGGGTCGAGTGTGGTGCTTTCAGTGAAGAAGCGTGGTTTCTGGTAAGGGCTAGTTACTTGAGTCACCCTGTCTTCCAGATTGAATGGTGAAAGACTTGCACAAGTGGTTCTGAGCAAGCAGTTATTCGGTCACCCAGACCGAGTCGAAGATCACATAGAGGTTGGAAAAGACTGTTTTGAGAACCAGTCGATCGGTAGCTTTGGGCGAGTAGGGCTTCCGAAACAGGGTTCAACTTTGAATTGAAAGTTAGTCGGTCACCTGGGTCGAGTGGACAAAGTGTTCAATGTCACGGTCAGAGTCGAGCGACTTGAGTAGGGCGGAGACGGAAGTTGGGAATGAGTATGAGAAGGCCCCAACAATGGTGATGATGCCTGAAGGTGGGGGCGTTCCGGTCAAGGTACCAAAGGGGGTGAACATGGTCACCCCTGGGCCGAGTGGCACCACCTCGAGTGATACTGAGTCAGAAAGGCAAGGGAGGAGTGGGGAAAACTCTGATGAAGTTGATGATTCTGAGAGTTTGCCCTCCACCAACAGTGGCTCCGAGGACGAGCCGAGTCGGCTTGGTAGCAGGATATTGAGTAGGGATTATCCGCCCTTGTTAAAGGAGAGTGATGTATGGCGGATCAGGACGATGTATCACATCCTGGAGTATGTCAAAATCAGGGTGCCGAGGTCGTACGAGCGGGTCAATTGGGAGGCAAAAGGTTGGGTGAGCACCTATGAGAAATGGTTCCATGACGGGCTAAGGCTTCCCAGCCCTTGTCTTGTCTAGGAGGTCTTGAACCATTTCATGATTGCGCCAACCTAGATTATGCCGAATGGGTGGAGGTTATTGATGGCTTTGGAGGACCTCTGTGTGCAGAATCAGGTGATGTTTGGGCTGCACGAGCTACTATACTTGTATTTCCTAAAGGAAAATGACAAAGATAAAGGCTGATACTTGATCAACTTTAGGCATGATCGGGCTCACCTCGTGACTGACCTCTGATCAAGTGATAAAATTGGAAGGAGCGTTTCTTCTTCATGAGGGGTGGAGTGGTCTTTAGGCAGAGAGGCCATGGCGAGATTCCATACGCCTGTCGAGCGACTGGTGAGAAATTGTCTTTACCCACATTTTGATTACTAAAATCTTATTGTGTTTCCTCTTTGTAGATCTTGAATTCAACCGTGCCGAACAAAGTGGGGATGACTTGGACGTGCAGACCTAAAAGATTCTTGCTATTCCAAAGCATAGAGGGATTGGCAGGTCCTATTGGAGGAGGCGAACCTGAGGACGAGTCACCTTTGGGCCAGAGTGGGTGTGATTCAGCGAGGTATCCCCTTCCTTTTGCTGAAGCAAACTTGGAGTGTGCTGCTCATTCGCTACTACAATCATATTTTGTCTGATAAGTCGAGGTTGAACCCACTAACTATTGAGGAATTTACGATTACAAAAAAGCTTATGAAGAAGTTGACCGTCCCAAGCGCGAGTGAGTCTGTCGTAAGACTTTACGAGAAGTGAAAGAAGGACTCTTCTACCAGAGAGGAGAGAAAGGTGGAGGATGTGGTTATGACTCCACCAGTTCGGACACCTACGGTCGGGGTTGGGTCATCCAAGACCGTGGTCTTAGATGAGGAGATTGAGATGCTTACTTTCAGCATCCTAGCTTCTGGGTCGACCTATTCGAACGTGGCTTCCATGAGCAAGTTTGCTAATTCGTTCTTGCTCCTGGTGGACGAGAGTCGTCTGAACCAGATGGGTGTTGTCACGGCCGCTAACTGAGGGGTTTCTTGCACTTTCCAAGTATGAGCCAGATTTTTTCCTTAATGTGTTTATAGTGATTGTATATTGATCGAGTCATTTTTTCATGCAGGCTTTCACCAGTAGCCTGCACCTCAGGAAATCCATCATGTCGTGAGAGAAGAGGATACAAGATGTATCCAAATCCAATGCCAATTTGCGACACAGAGAGACCATGGCCCAGAAAGCCAGCAGGAGAGCCAACAGCGACTGAGAGAGGCCGAGACCAAGTTGGAATGATTGAAGAGAGAGCTAGCAGAGAAGAACGCGGAGGTCGAGTCCCTAAGAGAGCAGTGTTTTAATATCGTCGATGACGCCATCATCAGGGCTAGGGGAGAGCTGATACTAGAGTACAAGGCCGGGAACACCTCCCACTAGAACCCGAATGAGGACATCCAACTCTTACGGTAGATGGAGGAGGAGGAGGCTGCTGGTTGCCCAGATTATGCGGAGGAGCAGGTCGATGATCAGATATTCAACCTTGCTAGCCAGTCGAGGCGATCGGTTACGGAGGATACTGGCGACTAGGCTGCAAGGGCGACCATTGGGGTCACTGATAGGGTGACTGAATCGAAGATGGGTGAGACGACTCGCACTAATGATGTGGGCCATGATGCCACTTAGGTTAATTTTTCCTTTCCTCATGTATTTTTGGGGCCTGCGATGCCCTTTCATGGCGTTTGTGCCTTTCTTGTACCCGATACTTAGCCGCCTGAGGCTCTTTTATTTATCTTATATTTAGTCCTTACGGGCTTTGTGTTTCTTCTTGTGTTTCCATTTTGTTGTTTTCCTCATGGATGGATGAGTTGATTGCTTGATTGTTTGTAGATGTATAGGGGTTGAACCAACTACTTGTGCTGTGATGTGAATGAGGCCAAGTGGTTGAGTTGTCAGTGTCATGGTGACCGGATATGTAAGCCATTAAGTTGCTAGGTTGGTTTGGGCTGTCCGGTGGTGTAATGGTCTGAGCCGATTGAAGGTGTAAGTCAATGAATCGGTCTAAGCTGATTAAATATGCAAGTTTATGATTCGGTTTGAACCGATCGAAGGTGTATGCTGATGAATCAGTCTGAGCCGATTGAAGGTGTAAGCTGATGAATCGGTCTAAGCCGATTGAAGGTGTAAGTCGATGAATTGGTCTAAACCGATTAAATATGTAAGTTTATAAGTCGGTTTGAGCCGATCAAATGTGTATGCTGATGAATCGGTCTATGCTGATGAATCGGTCTAAGCTGATTGAAGGTGTAAGTTGATGAATCGGTCTAAGCAGATTAAAGGTGTAAGTCGATGAATCGGTCTGAGCCGATTGAAGGTGTAAGTCGATGAATTGGTCTAAACCGATTAAAGGTGTATGTCGATGAATCGGTCTGAGCCGATTGAAGGTGTATGCTACTCTATCGCTGAATAGTTCTTTTATTGAATTTAGGCCATGAGGCCGACTGACGGTGAATGAGGTGGACATACCCATTCATCCTTTTTTAAAACAAAAACAAGAAAATAGAAATGTCATGAGAAAGTCTGACTAAAAATAGTAACGTTTGAGATGGATTGCATTCCAACTATTGCTGATGTCCTTGCCCTCGGGGGTTTGGAGTTTGTATGCGCCCTTCTCTACTTCCTTGGCGATCTTGTAGGGACCTTCCCAAGTAGGGTCGAGCTTGCCAGAGTTAATCTCCCTAGTGTTTTGAAAGACTTTGCGGAGGACCCAGTCACCTAGTTTGAAAGTTTTGACTTGGACATTACAGTTGTAGTGTCGAGCGGCCTACTGCTAGTAGATTGTGTTACGAATGTTCGCCCGCTCGCGTAGTTCGTCGATTGTGTCTAAGTTATGACAAAGGTTCTGGTTGTTGGCTTCTTTATCTGACCATTGAAGTCTGGTTGAGGGGACCGATACTTCGACTGGGATGACTGTTTCAGATCCATATGTGAGGGAGAAAGGGGTTTCGCCTGTAGAAGAGCAAGTTGTTGTCCAGTAGGACCAGAAGACCCCGTGTAGTTCATCTGCCCATGCGCCTTTGGATTTCTAGAGGCGCTTCTTTAAAGTTTGCATAATTGTTTTACTTGATGACTCAGCGTGGCCATTTGATTGGGGGTTGCGGAAGGGTAGAGAAGTTGAGCATAATCCCCTAAATGTTGCAAAAGTCTCTAAAGCCTGAACTGATGAATTGGGATCCATTGTCGGTGACTATTTCCTTCGGTATTCCAAATCTATAGATGACGTGTTTCTAGATGAAGGCTTTTACCTCTCTGTCTCTGACTTGGGCGAGTGCTTCGGCTTCGATCCACTTAGTAAAGTAGTCGGTGACTGCCAACATGAAGACTCGCTGCCTGGGTGCGATTGAGAGTTTTTCGACTATATCCATCCCTCACTTCATGAATGGCCAAGGTGTGAGAGTGGAGTTAAGTCGCTCAGATGAGAGGTATGAGACATGAGCAAACCTTTGACAGCTATCACGTTTCTTCAGATAGGCTATTGAGTCAGTGCATATGGTTGGCCAATAGTAGCCCAGCGGTGATCACCCGGTGGGCAAGGCTGCATCCTCCTGCATGGTTTCCACATTCGCCTTCATGGAGTTCGGCGAGAACCTGTTTGGCTTCTTTTGGGCTTATGCCTTTAAGGTAGGGGCCAGAGAATGACTTCCTAAGGAGTTAGCCCTCGTATATGGTGAATCTTGTGGTTTTAGCTCTTAAGTGGCGTGCTTCACTCTTGTCAGCTGGGAGCTCATTATGTTCCAAGTATTTGAGTATTGGGGTCATCTTGGAGTTGGTCGGTTCGACGTCCATCACTTTTTTGGGAAACTTGTTCGTTGGGTGTTCCTACCAGTCGACTGGCCATTAGAGGAATAGTAGTGGAATGGACGATTGGGAGGAGCCTTGAAGGGTTGAGCCGAGGTTGGCAAGGGCATCAGCATGGGTATTCTCCGCTCTTGGGACTTGGGTGATAGAGAATTCTTCGAAGGCGGTTTGCATTTCTTTGACCAAGTTCAAATAGGTTGTCATCTTCGAGTCTCGGGCTTGGTAAGTGCCTTGTAGCTGGTTGACTATGAGTTGAGAGTCGAATTTTACCTCTAGCTTCCTTACTCCGATCTCTTTGGCCAGAGAGAGTCCAGCAATAAGAGCTTCATATTTGGCTTTGTTGTTTGTGCACTTGAACCCACATCGTATGACCCGTTGGATGATATCCCCTTCTGGTGTAATAAGTACAACGCCGAGCCCACTTCCATTCACATTGCTTGAGCCATCTACTGAAAGAGTCCACTTCGAAGGTGATCCGTTTTTCATGCACAATAACTCCTTTTTTGTCTAGATGGTGGTGTTCAGGGTGAAATCAGCAATAAAGTCTACCAGTGCTTGGGATTTGACGGCGATGCGTGGTTGGAAAGATATATCGAACTCACTAAGCTCTACTGTCCATTGTGTGAGTCGACCTGATAACTCTAGCTTATGGAGTATCTTCTTGAGTGGGAAGGAGGTGAGGATAACTGTGGAGTAGCATTAAAAGTATGGTCTGAGCTTCCTAGATGCATGGATGAGGGCGAGTGCCAATTTTTCCAGCTGACTGTATCTTGTCTCGGTATCAAGGAGTGATTTGCTTACATAGTAAATCGGTAGCTGCTTCGCATTGTTCTCCCAGACTAATACTGCTAAGATGGCTATCTCCGAGACCGCCAGGTAGGTGTAAAGCTTTTCCCCAACCATGGGCTTGGAAAGGAGCGGGGGAGAGGTTAGGTACCTCTTTAACTGTTATAAGGCCTCCTCGTAGGTGGGGGTCCACTCAAATTTCCTGGATTTCTTGAGTGTGGCGAAGAAATGGTGGCACTTGTTAGCGAATCTGGAGATGAAGCGGCTTAAGGCAGCTAATTACCCTGCGAGGAGCTGGACGTCTTTGATGCAAGTTGGTGATGGTATGTTGAGGATCGCTTGGATTTGGTCAGGGTTGACTTTTATCCCCCGCTGAGTTACCATTTATCCTAATAATTTTCCTGATGAGATCCTGAACGAACATTTGGCTGGATTCAACTTCATGTTGTACTTCCTTAGGATGACGAACGCTTGGCTGAGGTGGTCGAGGTGCTGTTTGGCCATAAGGGACTTGACGAGCATGTCGTCGATGTATACTTCCATGGTGTCTTCGAGGTGTTCGGCAAACATTCTGTTGACCAATCTCTGATAGGTGGCCCCGACATTCTTAAGACCAAATGGCATTGCTTTATAGCAGTAGGTCCCTCTCTCTATGATGAAGGTTGCTTTCTCCTGGTCATCTGGGTGCATTAAAATCTGGATGTACCCTAAGAAGGCATCTATAAAGCTTAGGAGTTCTTGACCTGCTATCGCATTAACCATCATGTCGATATTTGGGAGCGGGAAAGAGTCCTTAAGGCATGCTTTTTTCAAATCCGTGAAGTCTATGCAGACCTTCCACTTTCCGTTCTTTTTCTTTATGACCGCAATGTTTGCTAGCCAGTCGGGGTAGTGGACTTCTCTGATCAGCCTGTTATTCAGTAGTTTATCAATCTTCTCATTGATGATCCGGTTGCATTCTGGTGTGACCTTTCTTCTCCTCTGTTTCACTAGAAGGTGATCCAGATCTACGTGGAGGTGGTGGATGATTGCCTCGGGGCTAACTCCTATCATGTCCGCACGGGGCCAAGCGAAACAGTCTTGGTTTTGTTTGAGGAACTCTATATGTCACTCTCTTATCTCAGGCCTGAGGCGAAAGCCTATCTGGGTCTTTCAATTGGGGTGATCTAGGTGTATCTACACTTTATCCAACTCTTCCATGGATAGTTGATCTGGCTCGGTCGGAGGGGTTAGATCAGACTGTAGTTGCTATGAGGCATGACCTTTACTTTTGAAGGCATTTTTGTAGCAGTCTCTAGAGGCCTTAGGATCACCCTTGATTTCTCTTACTCCTCATTTTGTTGGAAACCTTATAGTTTGGTAGAAGGTGGATGAGACAGCTCGCATGTCGTGGATCCAGGGTCGACCCAAGATGACGTTGTACAGTGAGGGGCAATCGAGTACTAGGAAAATGGTTTGCTTGTTGACTCTGTTGGTATAGATAGGCAAGGCGATTTCACCGATGATGTACTTCTGCTCATAACTAAACCCGACCAGTATGGTTAGTCATCTGCTGATGTTTGTTTCATCTAGTCCTATAGCCTTCACTGTTTCAAGGAAGAAGATGTTTGCCAAGGATCCCCTGTCTATGAATACTCTCTTAACCAGGATGTTGGCGATCTGGAGGGAGATGACTAAAGCGTCGTGATGAGCGGCTACATGGGTGACTGGCTCATCATTTTCGAATTGAATGACCTGGTTGGTGTGCGCACGAGGGGATGGATGAATGGATTAGACTTCAAGGTGATGGTTGGCTCGGGCGTAGCGCTTGGCTGAGGAATAGCTTACCCAATTGATCTCCGACCCTCTAGAGATAATGGAGCAGAACCCCTAACAAGTAAGAACGAAACTTGTCAAAAGCAAAAACTACAGCCAACAATTCTTTTTCAGTGGTGGTGTAATTCAATTGTGCATCAACTAGTGTTTTGCTAGCATACTGAATTACATGCAACACTTTGTTTTTCCTCTGTCCTAAAACTACCCCTAAAGCAAAATCACTAGCATCACACATCAATTCGAAGGGTAGTCCCCAATCGGGAACTGCAATAATAGGTGCAAATACTAATAATTTTTTCAGAGTTAGATAAGCATGCATGCAATCATCATTAAAGTAAAAAACAACATCTTTATTCAACAAATTGCAAAGGGGTTTAGAAATCTTAGAAAAATCCTTGATGAAGCGTCTGTAAAACCCTGCATGCCGCAAGAAACTTCGGACTGCTTTGACATTTGATGGTGGTGGCAGCTTCTCAATCACTTCCGTCTTTGCTCGATCAACTTCTATTCCATCCTTGGAGATCCTATGCCCGAGCACTATTCCCTCTTGGACCATGAAGTGACACTTCTCCCAATTGAGCACCAAGTTCGTCTCCTTACATCGCTGCAAAACAAAAGAAAGATTAGTTAGATAGCTATCAAATGATGAACCAAAAACTGAGAAGTCATCCATGAAGACTTCTATAAACCGTTCCACCATGTCTCCAAAGATTGACATCATGCATCTTTGAAATGTTGTTGGTGCATTGCATAACCCAAAAGGCATTCTTCGGTAAGCAAAGGTGCCATAGGGGCAAGTGAAAGTAGTCTTCTCTTGATCCTCTTGAGCGATGGCAATCTAGTTATATCCTGAATACCCATCCAGGAAACAGTAATAGGCATGTCCTGCCAACCTTTCCAACATCTGATCAATGAAAGGTAATGGAAAATGATCCTTCCTGGTCGCCTCATTCAATTTACGGTAATCAATGCATACTCTCCAGCCCGTCATCGTCCTCGTTGGTATCAACTCGTTACTCTCATTCTTTACCACCGTGATACCTCCCTTCTTCGGAACCACTTGTACTGGGTTCACCCATGGGCTATCGGAAATAGGATAAATAATCCCCGCATCTAAGAGTTTTACCACCTCCTTTCTCACCACTTCCTTCATCGAAGGATGTAATCTCCGTTGTGGTTGCACCCTAGGCTTAAAATCATCCTCCATGAGTATCTTATGCATGCAAAATGATGGCGAGATTCCTCTAATGTCCGAGATGGTCCATCCAATTGCTAGTTTATGTTCCCTCAACACCCTAATCAACCGCTCTTCCTCTAATGTACTCAAACCTGAACTAATAATCACCGGAAAAGTTTCTGAGTCTCCAAGATAAACATATTTGAGGTGGGAAGGTAAAGGTTTCAATTCAAGCTTTGGAGGTTCTTCATTTTTTTCCTTCTCCTTCTCTTTGTCAAAATCAAACTCCTCAAATTCTACATCTTGACTCTCATCAATCAGTTGAAGTGCTTCTAACATTCTAGCACAATCATTACTCGCCGACTCTTCTACCTCTACTGTTTTTGATTTGGCTATACACACTTCTAGAGGTAATTGTGGGGTGTTTTCTTCCATAGATTCCTCAACCAATTTGTCCACCACATTGACACTAAAACATGAATCCGTTTCAGCCGGAAACTTTATCACCTCAAAGACATTGAAAGTTACTGTTTCATCTTGAACTCTCAATGGTAAGTTTCCTTCCTACACATCAATAAGTGCTCTCCCCGTTGCCAAGAATGGTCGGCCCAAAATCAGAGGAATTTCCTTATCCTTTTCCATGTCCAACACCACAAAATCTGCTGGAAAAATTATCTTTCCCACCTTCACCAATACATCCTCTACTATCCCCCTCGGGTGTTTTATTGACCTATCCGCTAGTTACAACGACATGGTCATTGGCTTCACTTCACCAATCCCCAATCTCCTGAAAACAGAAAAAGGCATCAAATTAATACTAGCTCCTAGATCACACAAAACACGATCAAATGTAATATCTCCTATAATACAAGGAATAGTAAAACTCCTTGGATCTTTGAGCTTTGGAGGTAACTTTTTTTTTTAGGATGACACTACACTCCTCTGTGAGCATCATCGTTTCCTCATCGTCTAGCTTCTTTTTGTTCGATAAGATTTCCTTAAGGAACTTCGCATAGCTCGGCATCTGCTACAATGCATCTGCAAAAGGAATGTTAATATGCAATTTTTTTAAAATTTCAATAGACTTTGAAAATTGCTTATCCTGATTCTTTTTCTTCAATCTCTGAGGAAAAGGCACGGGTGGGGTGTGATGTGCCAACTCTGGTGGTATCTCGGGGAATGGCAATTTCTCCTTCTTCTTTTGCCTTTCATCCTTTTTCTTTTTCTCTTCCTCCAAACCACTTGGTTTCTCTTTAGCAACAATCTCTTCATCAACTTCCTCATCCTAATCTTCCTTTCCGGTTTGCTCAACCTCCTTGGTAGCTTGCTCTTCCTCTTCCAAAACTGTCCCACTTCTCAAAATTATGGCATTTGCTTGCTCACGTGGTTTAGTCATCGTGTTGCTTGGTAAAGAACCTTGAGGTCTCTCATTTAGTTTCTCGGCCAATTGGCCCATCTATACCTCAAGATTCCGAATGGACGCCCCTTGATTTCTAAAATTTGTTCTCGTCTCATTCATGAATCTTGTGGTCTCCTGCATAAATTTCCCAAACATATCTTCCAACTCTGTCACTCTCGGATCTCCCGGTTGATTATTCACCCCTGGTTGGTTATTTGGAACTGTCCTCTGGTTCCATTGATTATTTTGCTGGTTCTGATTTCCTTAAGCCAGATTTGGATGATTTCTCCACCCCGGATTGTATGTGTT